AACTCTAGATAGGGCAAAGGGATGGAAGGATAAGAGAGGGAGCATGGGGGTAAAAAAGATGGTGGAATAAGATGGATATCATTACCTAAATACATATATGAAGACATAAATGGTGTGAATATACTTTATATACAACCAGAGATATGAAAAATTTTGCTATATATGTGTAATATGAATCATAATGCATTCTGCTGTCATATATAACAAATAATAATTTTAAAAATTTAAAGCAAAACTGTGTGTGCTGTTTCTTTTTAAAGCTATTTATTACCTTATAATCTGTTTCCTCTCCTGAGTATTTCTGAGAATGAGACAATGACAAATTGTCCCCAAATTTGAGTAACAATAGAATACTTGGAATGCCCATAACTGCTCCAGAGAAGCTTTCTTCAGTATTATTGTAATTATTATTAGCACTAATTATAACAAGTGTTACTTTTTTAATTCATGTGATTACCAGGTATTTTACTTCATTAACATGTTAGCTAATCCTCTTACCAAGACATTATTATTCCTTTTTTAAAGATTTTTAAAAAAAAAAAAAACAGATTTAACTTGCCCAAGGTCACATAGTTTGTGAGTGGAAAAATAAGAATTGCATTCAGATCTGGCTGGTTCCAGAGTCCATTCTCCTACCACTGGGCAGTGGGCCTCTCATGTGTTCACCCACACACATGCCTATGACTGGCCAGACCCCCTAATCTGAGATTCTGAACCCTCAATGCTGCTAGCTCCTTACTGCTGACCCCATGACCCAACTCCAGGAGAGGATTAAATACGCAGGTGATTTAAGCTAGAACAAAAGGCAGCTCAAGAACTGGAAGGGCCTGGATGAAGGAGAAACATCATCTAGGAGCCAGGACCCACAGCTCCTGACCCCACTTTGGGCCTTGAGAAGTCCCCACAGGTCAATTACCACAGTTGGTTGCCTGTGAGCCACATCTTCCTCCCCAGGACTTTGCCCCCAGGACCTTCTCCAAGTTTTGCAGGTTCTAAGAATTCCAGGTTCTAAGAGTTCCAGGAGCCACCAGGATAGAGAGTGAATAGGGCATTATCTCTGCTGCCCAGAGCCCAGGGCCACAGGTGAGGACACCCAGAGCAGCTGCAGTTTGGGACTCGCCCTGGAAAGGCTCAGGTGACCCTTAACCACTCCCACAGCACCTCTCCTGCTTTGCCTCTAGAGCAGAACCCGAGCACACAGAGATGGAGTAGGACGCAATAGATGAGGCCATCACACCAAGGGTGAATAATGTCTAAGAAGCTGTTGTTTTACTTTTGTAAATGATTTGATACATGATTGCTACATGGCCCTGCAGGAGAATGAAGGCAGGTGATCACCTCACTTCAGGTGCCAGCTGCCTGCAGAGTGGCTGGAACTCATCAGGCCTCTCAGTTCCCATCCTGCCCACCTGGGCTGTGGGGGTTCCAGGCTGAGCCAGGCCTCTAAACCAGGACAGGGCCACCATCCAAACCTTCCAGCAGAGGGCTCTGTGGTCCCTGGCAGTCCCTGCATCCTCTGAGGCACTGGGACCACTGGACCCTGGAGGCTCAGCCCCTCTGGTTCCCGCAGCGGGTGATGGAGGACACAGCTCCCTCCATCCCTCCAAGACTCCCTTGCAGACCTCTCAGGAAGACAGTCATTCTCCTGCCCTCGCTCTTTGCTCCTGGCATAAGGAGACTCAGGGATAGACAACCACCCTAAAGAGGAGTCATGGGAGTCCCTACAGAGTTGCCTCTGGATATTGGAGGTGGGGCCCATCCCTGAGCCAGTCCCTGCCTCACTCCCCATATGTGTGCTGGTTGTGTTCAGCTACGTAATAAATTTCCTGAACCTTAATAGCTTAAAACAAACACTTATTATCTCGGTTTCTGAGCTACAACTCAGCTAGGAAGTTTTAACCCAGGTCTCTCATGAGGGCCACAGAAGCTGTAGGCCTAGGGCTGCAGTTCTTGATGCTCCCCATAATTATTTCACCCCAAGGGTCCATTTACCCTGCAGTGTGTCTGGAATCTGTCTTTAGGTTCTTGGGTTGCCTCCCAGCACTTTTGAGGTGAGGCTTCACAAAACCCCCTGAGACTCTTCTTTAGGGCAGTTATTCAACCCTGGAGTCCCCTTATGCCAGAAGCACAGTGAGGATGAGGAAATGACCATTTTGCTGAAAGATGGTACAATGCCTTATGATAGAAGTTAGAGATGGGGTGGAAGTGTCCCTGAGACAGGCACTGCCTGCTACATCCTGCTATTGGCAGAGGGATCATCCTCCTCCCTCAAAGGGGCTCAAATCCTACCCTTTCCCTCCCCAAGGCTGCTCCAGCAGGGAGTTTGTCTCCACGGAAACCTTTGAAGGTGGTGAAGGTGGCGGAGATATGGACAAGGAGAGCAGTGTGCTGAGTGTAATTATTTCCTTCTTGCATCTTTTCTTATCTCCCTCATTTCTATTCATGGGCTGCTCCTGCCCCTTCTCCCTCTCCTCTATTCCCTCTCTTCCTCATTTTTCATAATTGTCCCATCAAGACCAGGTCTAATCAGGAAGCCTAGATCACTGGACCTTCAACGTGTCTCTGCACCCTCCCAGCCCTGCATGTCTCCACATCACTGTCCCTGGCAATATGCTGGTTTGGGGTCAGGAGGGGCTGCAGCTGGGCATCCCAAAGGCCCAGGTGGGAGAACTGGGGTGGGAGAGGCTCAATGGGCCTTGCCGGGGCGGAGCACTGCCCCCACTGCTGACTCTGAAGTGTGTCCCTGTTCCCACCCTTACAGCTCTCAGGACTTTTCCAGTCTGAGGACAGTTATGAAACCTGTTCCCCCAAAACGGTTTCCCTGGAGAAAGGAGAAAGCACCGAGGGAAGAACAGAAGAACGTGATGAGAAGAAAGCGTGAGTGTGAAAGTTGGAGGAAAGTAAGCCGATCTGTTGCCAGGGCTTCTCTGACTTTCTTCTTGGCATTTCAGGGCATCGAGCAGCACAGAGGGGAGCGCTGGGGTGTCCCCTGGCCTGCCCGTTCCTGCGGGGGAGACGACGGGTGCCCAGGCGCAGGCAGTACGGGCGATCGCAGCAAGCCCGAGACCCTCCTCCACGGAGAACTGACCCTCGTCGCAGGCTCCCTTCGCCAGTGCCGTCTGCATCCCGGGGAGGGACTGTCGTGATGCGGACGAACGCCGCGCGCTCCTTCAGCAGAAAGCAGCCTGCGGGCCTCGGCGCCCCGGGTCTGTAGCGGGGGGAGGGGAGCCCAAGGCGAAGCGCCCCAAGGGTCCCAGCTCAGGGGCCCGGGAACTGTGTGTGGCTGCACGCGCCTCCACGGGCGCAGGGAGCCCACAGCTTACGCCGCCAGGACTCACCAAGGGCTGCTCAATTTTTGGCGATTTTGATCTTTGGGGCTGAATAAGTCTTTGCTGTGGGGGCTGTTCTGTGGGCTGTGGGATGTTTAGCAGCATCCCGGGCCTCTAGAAGCTACAGGTCAGTAACACGCCCCTACACCCTCCCATCCCCAAATTGGGACAATCAAAGATTCCTTCAGATATTGCAAGATTTCTCGGGAATGGGAGTGGAATTAGAGCCTTGGAGCCTGAGCGTGAACGCAGGCCGAGGATGAGCACCTGGTAGCTGCTGCGCCTCCCCATCCCCCAAGAGAACGTGTGTGTGTGTGTGTGTGTGTGTGTGTGTGTGTGTGTGTGTGTGTGTGTGTGTGTGTTTATGTGTGTTCATTCCAAGGTTGTTCAGTTTCAAAGAGGGTTGGTTCCAAGTTTACTTCTGAAGTATTTACGACAGATGTATTAGTTTTTTAATACAGGTTATTTATTTTCAATTATTTTTTAGTCTCATTGGTAACATTTCATTCATTTTTAGCTTTTTAGTTACTTAATTTTATACTTGTAGTTACCTGTGAATAATCATTTATTTTACTTTCAAGATTTTTTAAATTATTCATTTTCAGTTATATTTTATTTTTATTAATAGTTATTTTGTTTTGAGTTGTAGGTTTTAAATTAATTAGCTTATAATTATCTATTTTCATTGCCTGTATTTACAATGTTTAGTATCTGAGTTGCTTTCTATTTTTAGTTATTGGAATTTTGAATTATTTATTTTCACAGTCAATTGACCAACTGAAAATCATTGAGAGCTTTTGAATTACTGTAGTCATTTATTTTCAGAGTGCAATGCTCTTATCACTGTAGGACTTTTTCTGAGTTATTTAGTTTTCCAGGGTTTCTTCAGTTATTTTTTTTTGAGCTGTTTATTTTTACATTCACTTATTTTTTATTTATTGTGAGTTATTTCATTTTTAAAACTTTATTTTCAAAATTATTTAAATTTTAAACATATCAAATTTTTTCAAAGTTTTTAATATATTTAGTTTTTAAATTATTTCCAGAGCAACTTATTCTCAGTCATTTTTTTTTCATTTATGCCTTCACCACTTAAATTTTTGTCTTTTTTCTTTCTTAATTCATTCAGATTTATTTTCCAAGTTATTTAGGTTTAAAATTTAGTGTACCAGTTCAATTAAGAAATGTTATATTAGTTATTTTAACAGAGAAAATATAATATAAAGAATTGTTAACCAGCTGTTGGAGATTTAAAACGTAAGAAGAAGTGATACTGAGATATCATGGAAACTGAGAGCTGAGAGAACAAAGGTCAGAGGTTGGAATTATCAAAATCCAGGAGTGTAGAGGTGACCCCATGGCTAGGGCTTGTCCCCTGAGGAGCAGTTGCTGCTCAAGATACAGATGGCTCAAGAACTTGGGAGCTAGATGCAGAACTCTGAGAAGCAGATGCTGATGTCTCTAAAATGGCACGATGGGCTAGTTATGGGATTTTTAAGGAAAATATCCAACTGGATCACTGGTGCTGCTGAAGCATGCTGTGGCTCTCTGGGTAGAGATGCTGCTAGGGGGAGACAGGCAGGATGCTGAAGAGGCACATCCCCTTCCCCTCCTCCAGTCTCCAAAGCAGAGAGTAGAAGGGTGGGCTGGAAGCTGGGAAGTCCAGTGTACAACCAGCAATCTTAGCTTTGCAGTTACTAAGTTTTAGAGTACTTTTGAATTTAGTTTGTTTTGGAAATGTTAAGGATGATTTGGTTTTAAGTTTTCCCTAGACATGGGATCTAGCTGAGTCTCCGGTCCCCTGACTGTTTCTGGAATGGAGTGAGCTAATGAGAGCAGCCTCTCCTGTGAGTCTCAAGGAAACCACTTTAGATATCAAAAAAAAAAAAAAAATCATGTGTCTCACTTTATTCATAAGGAAGCCCTTTAGGTGGCCAAAAAAGTAGAGACTAAGGGACAAGCTATAAGGGAGAGGCTCATCCCTCTTTGAAACTTTTCAGAAAGTGAAACTATGTTGTGAGTCTACCTTCTCCCACCCGCCTTTCCTAACAATAAAGTATCTTTCTTGATAATGTGTGTTTCAATTTTGTAGACTATTTACACAATAAAGGTTCTTCCCAAACCCATAATCTTATAATCTTAGATTCTTTTATCGGCATCATTTTCAAACCACATTGTTTCATCTTGACAATAAAAATATATAATATGTTATTCAATTGATTCAACACCTGCTCTCAGAATACTTCTGTCCTAAGGGAAATTCAAGAACCAAGTGAGCCCAGGGAAATGTAAAGATGAGTGAGAAATCATCCATCAAGTGGGGAAGACAAATGTAGAAACAGATAATCACAATCACAGTGTGACAGATAGTCTGGGAGCACCAACACTGTCACGGACTCTTCTGATGTGGTTAGGGAAGGGGTGATAATCTGAGCTAGGTCTAAAGGAGCCAAAGCTTTCTTTAGGTAGAGAAGGAGGAGGAGACCTTGGGCTGAGGGAATAGCACATGCTCAGGCACAGAGGCATATAGGAGCCCTGCATGGAAGGGATGACAAGTTGCTAAGGGCCCCTGGGCCACAAGAGTCAGAAAGGCTCTGAACATTAGGGCTGGCCCTGGCACTCAGCAGATCCTGCCTCCTATCATCCTCACTGCTCACCAAGAGAGAGTGGGAAGCAACTTCAGGAGTCCAGTGCTCTTCCTGCTCTTCCTGATCCCATCACAGTTACATTCCTGGGAATCTTCCCTCCTTACTGGCTTTAGTGTTTTCCCACCCCCATTTTCACTTGTCCATTAGTGGTGAGTCCCTTCCTCCTTCACCTCCTCATCCCAGTTTCTTACACATCTGTAGGGAAAGAAGAAGGTTGAGACCAGCCACCTGTGAGGTGGTGAGGATGTCAGTTGCAGAGGAGGTGAGGAAAAAGGGGACAAAGGAAACCTGCTGTGGAAATCTGTAAGGGTAGGGCAGACTCTGGGCATGACCACTCATGACTTCCTCCAGCTGCTTTAGACAACTGCAACCATAGAAAGGTAGAAAGGCTGCAGGGATGTGGTTCTCAAAGGGGGAACCTATTTAAATCCAACCTAGCTTGTGAATCTTATTAATTCAACAGTGTTGTAGCTCCGTGGTAGGGCACTTGCCTAGTATTTGTGAGGCTCTGGGTTCAATTATCAGCACTACACATAAATAAATAAATAGATAGATAGATAGATAGATAGATAGATAGATAGATATAAATAAAGGACCATCAACAACTAAAAAACATATTTTAAAAAAAACGAGTATTGAAAGCACAGAGTCCTTTACTATGTGAACAACAGTAAACATGACTACCAAGTCAGAAGAAAATGTAGTCCCGCCTAATGGATGATGGTGTATTTTCAAACTTCTTATAAAACATATCTATACATTCAGTCTCAAATGCATGAGTATGTAATCACAGCAGACTTCTCTGCTTATCTTGTCTATCATGATACACCCAATTCTCTATGAGAATATGGCAGAACTTCAACTACTTTTGTATCTTATCTGAACACAAGAATCTTCAGGATGCTGATCATTTGCCTCAGGAAACACCACTTAGATGGTCTCAGACATGTTTGATCATTGAATAGCCAGCTGCTCACTACAGAAACTCAGCCCAAGGCATGTTCAGTACTTTGGGCCTGAGTCCATGCCTGCCATACGAAAATGTCCACACTTGATGGTGCTGGCAGGGGACAAGTGCCCTATCTTCCCAGAAGGAGTCTCTCTGCAGATATTATGCCACAGAAAAGTGACCAGAGGAGACTTTCTAGTACCAGGAATTGCTGGATGTCCTCAAGTGCTGCCCCCAGTGCCCCAGGACTGTCCACTCTGATCTTCTACTCCAGCCTCCTTGTCAAAGCCCAGGCTGCTGCCTCTGTTGGGCTCCAGGAATCACAGAGCTCATGGTAGGCTGCAGGGGACACAGAAATAGGGGAATATTCCTTGTGAAGCCATCTCTGGTATCAATAGATCTCCAGTGGACACTACAATCTCTACTGGGGGCCTGGCCACACTATTCACTCAGGAAGTAGTTGTGAACTTTTAGGCTTATTAAAAACAGGGTGGTAATGCAAAATAATAATAATAATGCTCATATAAAAAAATAAATAAGAATTTAAAAAAACAGGGTGGAGAAACAAAGGGTATGTTTTCCGTGAATTAAATATGTGTTCTCTTCCCATTTGAGTAAATGGAAAGGAATCAAAAACCACCAGATGAAACCCCTCAGGCCTCTTTTAGAGTTGTTCAAATCCCCCATGCCTTTAAAATGTGGCCCACTAGAGGGACTTGGATTTCAATGTGTTGCCAAGGGTTGAGAATGCTGTGGCCACAGATTATAATGGCCTGGCTGAAGCAGCTAAATCCATAAAATCTAGAGGGGTTCTGAGTCTGTACTAAATACCAGCCATACATTATGCAATGTTAGAGCTAGAAAGTCAAAGATCCTCTATCCCAGCATTGCTACAGTATATTTTACAGAATATGCAGAAGTATTCAATGAGTTAATCCATTTTCTGCTAGGCAGAAAAAAAAGTTTTTAATAATCTATTCCTCTCTTGGTAGATGTCAATTAATAGATTCAAGAATCTAAAAGCTCTTACAGGAAGGAAGACTATACACTTTTCCCAAACTTATTTGATCATGGAACCCCTTTTTTGTGAAATATAATATCCCATGTATATTAGTAAGGAGAAAGGCTAAACTTATAACAAAGAGATACAATAAGATATGATGACTTAAAAGAATATTTTCTGAGAAAGACTTGGGGGGATTCCACCAGTATGTGGAGAGAGAGAGGACAATCAACAGGAAGACCTAAAGCTAGAGTGGAGCAGACACTGAGAAAACATTTGAGCAAACAAATGCACACACACACCAAACATATCACTTGAAGTGCACCCAGTGTACTTGGGGTAACCATAGCAACAACAAGCCCAAGGATCTATACAAAAGAAGACTAAGAGAAATAGTAATTGTAAGAGTTAAGACTAAAAGCTCCCCCCTCCTTATTTCTTTTATCTTTAAAAAAAGATAATGACTACTTAGCTTAAAATTTATGACAATATGTTACAGTTTCTGATTTATGACCAATTATAATGGACGAGAACAACAGAACAAAGACAGGAGGGAAGAAATTGAAATACTTTATTGTAAGTCCCTTATGTGTACAGCAGCACAATAACACTTGAAGGTTCACTGTGATATTATAAATTCTGTAAACCTTAAAGCAAACATGATGGAGTCACACAAATAAGCCAACAAGTGAGATAAAATAGAATTTAATAAACATATCCAAGAGCTGATAATGAAAGAGGAAATATGAAACTAAGAACAGAAAAGTAGAAACTACTTACCAAGATAGTAAACATTCTCGGATCAATAATGAAGTAGCCTAAACATCTCAATTAAAAAAGAATGATTTGGCCAGGTGTGGTGGTGAAATTCCTGGCTGGAGAGACTGAGGCAGGAAGATCACAAGTTCAAAGCTAGCCTCAGCAAAAGCGAAGTGCTAAGCAACTCAGTGAGACTCTGTCTTCAAATAAAATACAAAATAGGGCTGAGGATGTGACTCAGTGGTACAGCACCCCTGAGTTCAATCTCCAGTACCAAAAAAACAAAAGAGAATGATTGTCAAACTGGATATTAAAAACAAGATAAAAAAGCCATTCTAAGTATAAAGTTATAAATAGATTAAAAGCAAAAGGATAGAAAAAGTTATACCATGCTAATGCTAACCAGAAGAAAGCCAAAACGACTATGTTAACATAAAACAGTCTCAGAATAAAGATATGTTAAAAAAAAAAGGCATTTCAAAATGACACAATGACCATCCCACCAAGAAGACCTAATAATGTTGGCTGTTTGTGTGTCAATAATAGAGCCCCAGGACAAATAAATCAAAAAC